CCTTACAATCTGAATTAGGTCGACCCAGGCAAGCGCGGACACTTGACATTTTCATGACAGACCGTACTGAGTCAAGCTAGGCTTGAAGCTCCAGTGTGACTGTAGCCTCTAAGACTGTGCAGAGTGATATATAAAAACATCCATATTATTATTATTAAAAATGAGTGTTACCTTAAAAACTCGATGGTAGACTGTTAGAATGAGGACAGTTGCACCGTGCATGCACCCGAGAGGAGCAAATATGAGGAAATATGTGAAACTAGAATGGTTAAAGTGACCACAGCAGGTGTTTATCCAAGGACAATGATGGTCCATCTTTATCACACACCTGAGAAAATTAGACACATTCCATCAATAGGTAAATAGTTCATTGAATTAACATGTGCATAGTTATAAGTATATTTCAAGCATCCATACAACATATAATCATCATTGTCGTCTTTGTCACCGTTGCCATGGGCACAGTGGTGGTGACAGCGGGGTATTTGTTCCCCTCCCCCGAACAGGCATGGACCCGTAGTCCAACGAACGACTAGTTCCTCGGGTTAAAAAATTAAAAAAAAATAATTTGCTAATAAAATAATGTTATTTTGACTGCCAATCCCTAGTATTATAGTCTAAAGCACATTTTGAACCATATTAAGCCATAAAAACTCTCTCCGTAAACCCTACTAGAGATTTTCTAGTACAGGTCATTGCCCGAGGCTTCGTCAGCCCCTTGGTTTGGACCTATCTGTCGGACATGATTTCTGGTGCCATCGCAGCGTGGGCACCACTACCACTGCCATGACCACTAAGACAACCTACCTGTTGGTTGTTCATTCATTAACAATAATTTAATAAAAAAAGTTTACAAATTGTAATCAATTGAACAAAGTATTTTCAATCTAGATATCGATCTAAAAAAAATATGCAACTTACAATATACTGTAGGCCTACAGTAATGTCAGGTAGATTTAAACTTACAACGTTAATTTTGTAGTTCTTACCTTTTACAATGCCTACAGTGGTGCGAGCGTGGGGACTTATAACCCTGACACGCTTCACAGAATTGAAGCTTTTTACAATCTTCTAAATTTTCCTGTAAAAAAAAAAAAATCACATTCAATTTATATGCTGTCTGAATCCCACATATCCAGACTATTATATTTTAATTGTCAAAAAAATGTGACATGTCTAAATATGGTTGTGATGACATCACATCATGACCATATATGCGAGGTCTCACCACGAAATGAGATGCATCGTTGGTGAAGTCATTTTGAGATATTCACCAAAATAGGTCAAAGGCAAAATTTAAAAAAAATTTTGATTTTAATGTTTTTGAATAACTTGATACTTATATTTTATGATTGTGTACTTTTTAAGTGAATTTTCTTACTAAAATAATGTTGTTCTCTTCGCATATTCTGTAATTCTAGTTCTATTATTTGTACAGGTTAGTTTATCTTTGAGGCCGATTTTCTCAAAACTTGGTTCTCATACACTTAAACTTTAAATGCTAACAGCTCTGGATCTATTTATCCTAGGGAAGCCATTCAAAGACCAAATTAAAGCTTATAATGTGATCTACCAAAGTGTAATATTAACTCATTTTTGGATTTTCTAACGATGAAACTCATTTTGTAGTGAGACCTCACATATAGGCACATCATGACTATATATGGGCATACAACTTTTTTTTTTGTAGAAGAAAATTTTGATAGTCTGGACAGCGTAAATGCTCGAGTAAGCGCTGCTGCGCTTATAACACTTTTGGATGCTTCTGTGCGGCGCCTATCGAGAGCTGCGCTTATACAAAATATTGGTGTGGTGTACCTTCTGAAGTAGTTCTGTAGGCCCATCATCGTAAATAATTGTTAATAAAGAAATGCTTGTGTCTTCACTCTGGTATTTTCTTTTTAACACTGTATACATTGTATTTAAAACCCTGTTTCTTAGAGTGTTTCATCACACACAGGATAATATACTTAGGATTAAGCGCCGCAGTGCTTACTTTACAGTAGAAAAAAAAAAAAAAAAAAAAAAAAATCAAGTTTGGCTGGCGCTTATTCAAGAGCAGTGGTTATTTGAGAGTGTCACTTATTCAAGCATTTACAGTACACCAAACCTGTTTAAGAGTTTGATTGGTTCCTTCAGAACCAAAAACGTGAATATGCCTTGTCCTATGTCAACATTTAACGACTTAAACCCATAAACTCATGAAGATTAACAATAAACACATTCCGCTAGATTGGTCATGTGACATGAAGGATCACAGCAACTCAAAAGCATACAAAGTACATTGAACGCTAGAATAATTAAAAATGAACACTATTTTGAACAATCGTAGTGCCTTTCCTTGCCAGTTATTATCTAAGGTAATTGTAGGTTGAATGTTTTCGAAACCAAAGCATTACCCTTTCCTATACTTAAACACTGATCACACTGGAAATTCTCCATAGTAATACCCACTATATGTCATGTGACCAGCTGTAAAGAAACCTCGCAGAATGTGTCTATCAGTAGTTCAACTTAACTCACACTCAAATGTACAAGCTTGTGGATAAGTGAGTACTGCAGAAGAGCATTATAACTTACCGGTTTCCATCCCAAAGGAACAAACCCCGGTCCACGAAATACTGCATTGAAATAATTGAACAAGATAAAGAAGATCCAAGATGATAGGATGATGAAATGCACGATGCTCCCGTAGCTGTCAAGGGTCGGAGGCCAGTAAACAAGATCGCAGTAAACTGACATGGTGGTAATGTAGAAAATCAGAAAGAGGGCGATAAATGGCCCCCAATGACATAGCCTCTTGAGCGGACCGAAACACATGATGTCATCAACTTCTCCCCTTTCCCAGGGATGCTGGAAAAGACAAAAATTAAGTAAAATCTGCAACTAAAAAAAAAAAATTTTTAAATCAGGTATTTAGAATGAGATTTATAGTCAATGGAGTATTCAAGGGGGGGGGGGGGGGGGCTGAGCAGTCCCATTCCTCTTCTTCCCCATCTCTTCCCTTATTTTTTCAAAATTATTAAAACAATGGAGAAAAAAGAAAAATTATTAATCAAATTTAGGCCTGAGAGTTCCATATCATAAATTTTCTTACTGTACCTCAGCCCAAACCATGGTGTGGCTGAGTTGGTCTAATAAAAAAGATTGATTGATTGATTGATTGATTGACATCTGTGAAAATCTCTCCAGGTCCCCTCTATTTCGAATTGCTGGATCAGCCACTGATAGTTGTTATTTAACTACTGTACGGTTCAAACG